AGGTTCCTGCCCACGGGGGAAGGCAGGAAGGGGGGGAGGAGGAGAAAGCCGAGTGCTCCGAGCCCTGGGACAAGCAGGAAGCGCAGCAGGTGCCAAGCTGCTCCCACTCTCCCTATCCCTTAAGGATAATGTCAACCTGACGCCTCCCGGTGTCCCCACGTCGGGGGCCGGCGGGACGGGGACGGCCGCTCCGCAGACAGGGAGACGCCTTGGGAAGGCGCCGCGTTGCAAATGGAGGGGCAGGGACGGTGACACTGACCGGGCTCCCGGCAAGGGGCTCAATGCAGGCGCCGAGTGCGTCGTCCGGTACCGGGGTCACTGCAGGGATCCAGTGCGGGAGCAGCTCCCTGGTACCGGGGTCACTGCATGGATCCAGCTGGAGCAGCCCCCCGGTACCAGGGTGACTGCGTGGATCCAGTGGGAGCAGCTTCCCCGGTACTGGGGTCCCTGCACGGATCCAGTCGGAGCAGCTCCCCAGTACCGGGGTGACTGCACGGATCCAGCACAGGAGCACTGTCCCGGTTATCAGGATCTCTGTGCAAATCCAGTGGGAGCAGCTCCCTGGTACCAGGATCCCTGCACGGATCCAGTCGGAGCAGCTCCCCGGTACCAGCATCCCTGTGCGGATCCAGTGCGGGCAGGGAAGGGTCTTTGCCCAGCGCATCCGCGTGCGCCCTGGGGCCACAGGCCGGGAGGCTGCGGCTTTGGGGCAGAGCGAAGCCCCCGGCCACGGGAAACCCCGACCGACACCGCGGGAGTCGGACGGGTCCAGGGACCCTCCGTGCCCAGCCCGGGAAGAGCCGGACTCCCTGCAGCCAGTGAAAGCCGGAGCTCAACCCTGCAATCCCGGGAGCAAACGAGCGAGAAAGCAAATATGTGCACGGAGCTGGGGAGGACAAAGGTTATCAGGGCCGGTTTCACTGGGACGCGGCCCAAGAGAGGTGGGAAAAGCAGCCAGCGGCTCCCCGGCCGGCCAAACCCCTTTGCGGGGGCCTGGCGGGGG